AAGTGCAAGAACTTACACCGCAACAGAAAGAAAATAGACTCAAAAGAGCTAAAGAGTTGCTTCGCTTGGCCGAAAGTGGTGAACTGCAGAATTTGGTTTTCTCCGATGAGAAAACAAAATGATCGTGTTTACTTGCCAAAGAGGTCAACTGAAAATGGCCACCAGAACTCAAGCGCCGGTCATGGTGATGGTGTGGGCCGCCATAACAGCCGATGGTCGCTCTTCGCTTGTATAATTCGACCGTGGCATCAGAATAAATGTCGAATATTATTGCGAAAATATTCTGGAGGGTGTATCAAAGCCTTGGGCACGCCAAAATTTTGGCCGAAGACCTTGGACTTTCCAACAGGACTCAGCACGCGTCACCTAAGAATGGTTACAAAATTAGATTCCTCGATTAATTTTCAGGCACAATGGCCACCAAAATCTCCGGATACCAATCCGTTGGACTATTGTGTATGGAGTATTTTGGAAAGGAAGGTTAACACTGAAAAATACCAAAGTGTCGATGATCTCAAGCAAGCGCTTCGCCGGGAATGGGCCAAAACACCACAGAGCAACATTCGGGCAGCGTGTGACGATTTCATTGGCCGTAATTCGTGCCAAAGGCGACGAATTAAAACAAATCTAAACTTATTCTAAATTTTGATGCTATCTCCGAAATTTTTTGCTTTTTTTTTCAATAAAATTTAAAAAAAATGTAAAAGTTATAGCGTTTGACGTTGTTGCAGTTTTTTATCTCACCCTGTAGATCCCATATATATCTTTATCTGATTTGACGTTTATTGTGCACCAAATGGTTAGTATCAGCCAAAATAAAAGGGTTTTTGAACCGATATGTTTTTTGGCATACATAAATCGGTTCAGATATAGCAATTCCATATATATATTTCATACGATTTGGCGTTTAAGTCCTGATTTTACTTTTGGCGTTTAAGTCCCGCACATTCCTAAATGCACTCTACAAAAATAGGATTTGGTACCTGATATTAGATACAACTCAGAAATACATCTGCCGAATTTTTATGTGTAATATTAGACCAAATTAGATGAACTTTGGCAGAGACTACCAAATTTAGCCTACAATCAAGTGTGTTCGATTCAGATGTAGTAATAGCAGGCACCGCCCGATTTTTATATTTCCTTGCTGTTTTTTTTTTTCTTGATTTTGCATTGATTGACCTAAATTTAGGAAGAGGTTAGTGCTTAGGACCAGATAAAAACCCAAAATTTTGAAAAAAAAAACTTGGATATTATTGGTACAAGTACAAGTTGTGATAATATCAATGATTTTTTAATAAAGCTCAATACCATTTTAGGATCCTGCAAATGTTTTTTTATACCCACTATTCGAATGGTGGCTAAAACCAACAACCCGTAAGAAAACGTAAGAATTTTTCATATCAATGAGTTTCACTAAAAATATTTCCGCGAAATCGAATGTCAATTTAAGGTACCTACTTTTGAGTTGTCGAGTGGTACAATAACCGCGATATTATCACAAAGTTCGGGAAAATTTGGTAAATCAGAAAGAAATTCGTAGGCAAGATTTTTAATTTTTGGTGTTCATTCTGAGTCGATTTATGCATGTCCATTTGTAAGCGAATTTCGCGTCGCATTTATTGTTCGATTGAGTCTAAACTTTACACAGTTAATTTATTCGGTCCAAGGAAATTGATAATTATTTCTTCAGATGTAAATATAGCTTTCATATAAATCCTCGACCAATTTCACGTTTATCAGTCCAAATAGAATGGATTTTGGCACATACGACCGAATTCAGTGGAGACGTAAGTTTTAAAATTCGACGAAAATCGATTTAGATATAACTATGTCTCCCAAATATATTTCATGCCAGTTAATATTTTTTAAGTCCCTCAAAACCATAATTTGGGCTTCAGAAATATCTTTGTCAACATTTTTGCCATTTTGGTTCAGACTTGAACCTCTCATGTATATTTCTCATAATATCACGTAAGTTATGTACCAACCATGTTATGTTTGTACAATTATATTAAGTTTTAGATCATACCATTCGGTTTCGACTACAAAAAGCCTGTCTACTTTGAACTAAATCGTTTCAGATTCCGGAATGTTTGCAATATCCAATGGAATTGGCGATTTTAATCCACTGGGTTTACTAAGTCTGGTAAAATTTAAACGTACTTTTCCTCTCATTTATTTCCTCTCATTTTTTATTTTTCCATAAGATTCTATATTTAAGCCTATAGCAATGATATTTGATTCGAAAGATATGTAGCATAAATATGCTTCTATTAAATTTAGTGGAGCTCTATATGACGTAGTTCAACTTCTGTACTTGTTTTCTGTTTTTTTTTATTTCTGTATAAATTTGACATAGAAGCCCTCAAATGCCACATTTTAGCCTATTTTTTTTTTTAAAAAAAATAACTTGGAATCAAATCGATTTTGATTTTGAGCAAAATCCAAGTCACTGGAACTTTCTTTGTGAAATAAATATTGAAAAACTCAACAGTCCAAAAAATGTCTTGATACGTTCAAACTTACTGAAGAAAACCGATGTCGTTAAAAGCCGTTGTTCCCCCTTTAGAAGCAATATATTCCATCCTTGCTTTCGAATGTTCTAAAATGAACCAGTGAGGAAAAGTCAAAAGTCGGGCGGGGCCAACTATGTGATACCCTACATCACTTTGCATATTTAGTAGAGCTGCCGTAACAAAATAATTTATTTGAAGCAGATCATACCACCTATCAACATTTGGCTTTAGAGCAGTTATAATTTGGTGTCAGAGGGAACTTAAAAACCACATCGGATGAAACATATATATATGGGAGCTATAGCTGTATCTAAATTGATTTTCTCCAAATTTGATGTACTCGCTTCTAGACTGTATTCAGTCGGATGTAACCAAATTCTGGTCATGTGGACTGATTTAGGCCATTTGGTGCACACTTAACCCGAAATCGGTTGAAGATATATATGGAAGCTGTATCCAAATCTTAGCCGATCTCCATAAAATTTGGCAAAGGTATTTCCGAGCTCCATAAGATATCTGGTACCAAATATCATTGTTGTCGAATGCATATTACGAATGTGAGGGACTTAAACACCAAATCGAATGAAACATATATATGGGAGCTATAGCTGTACAATAAGAAGGTAGAACAGCTTCGTAAAACAACAGAAATACAACCCTAAGGCTATGTCCGCTTCCTGTCAGACTCATTCAAAATTATATGGAACAAGATGTTTTTATTTTCTTTAATATTTTTCTAATTTTTAAAATGAATTAAATAACGAGAAAAATGTATGAAATGTCTGGATTTTCACTCAAAAATATGATCCAAACTGTTCAATCGATCAATTTCATGGCTAAACTGGTTAATAGCTTTAATGCGCTAGCCGCAATCTCCGTGTTTTCCAATCATTGGCTTGAAAATATTTTTTTTTTCATTTTTCAAAACAATAAATACATACACAAAATTGGCAGAAGTCGGACACACTTGGAAAAAAAAAGTAATCAGCTGGTAGCTCTACCTTACCTTTTTATTGTACCATGACTGTATCTAAACCCATTTCCCCCAAATTTGACGTACTTGCTTTTAGACTGAATTCGGTCGGATGTACCAAAATTCAGGTAATTTGGAGTGATATAGGCCATTTGGTGCACAATTAACCCGAAATCGGTTGAAGATATATAAGGGAGCTGTATCCCAATCTTAGCGGATCTCTATAAAATTTGGCAAAGTTATTTCCGAGCTCTATAAGATATCTGGTACCAAATATCATTGTTGTCGAATGCATATTACGAATGTGAGGGGCTTAAAAACCACATCGGATGAAACATATATATGGGACCTATAGCTGTATCTAAACCAATTTTCTTCCAAATTTTATGTTCATGCTTCTAGGCTGAAATCGGTCGTATGTACCAAAATTCAGGTCATTTGGAGTGAAATAGGCCGTTTGGTGCACAATTAACCCGAAATCGGTTGAAGATATATATGGGAGCTGTATACAAATCTGAACCGATCTTTATGCAAATTGGTAGAGGTATTTCTGGGCTGTATATGATATCTGGTACCAAATATCATTGTTGTTGAATGCATATTGCGAATGTGAGGGACTTAAACACTAAATCGAATGAAATATATATGTGGGTGCTATGGCTATATATGAACCGATTTTCTCCAAATTTGATGTACTTGCTTTTTCACTGAGTTCGGTCGGATGTAACAAAATTCAGGTCGTTTGGAATGATATGGGACATTTAGTGCACAATTAACCAGAAATCGGTTGAAGATGTATGCAGAAGCTATATCTAAATTTGAACCGATTCTCACCAATTTTAATAGGGTTCGTCCTTGTTTTGAAAATTTCATCTTAATCGGATAAAAAATGCGACCTGTATTTTGTTCACAAGAATGCATGGACAGACGGACTGACATGCAAAAATCGCCTCAGAAAGTGATTCTATGAAGATCCTCAAAAGTAACTATGGGTATATCTCGCATTCTTCTCCGTGTTACAAATATATGCACAAAGACATAATACCCTGGGAGGGTATAAAAACGCCGACAGCTTCAAGCCTTTACCAAATTTCATAAATTTAAATAAAAAATTTAATAAATTTGAATACAATAAAATAACGATATTCAATTTCCTTAAATATCTTCCACCGCTTTGCTACAAAGTAATTAGTTCTCATTTTACAATGGGAATGCATTGCCATTTGTTCTCTCCTATTTTATTTCGGTTGTTTTTTAAACCAAGCTCAAATAACCAGAAATTATTCCATACCGCGTGTCCTGTTTCGTTTTCAAATGACAGCACAAATATTTGACACTGTAATTACAAACCGACCACAACACAAAACAACACCTTCGAACTCTTTAATCTGTATGAAGTTCCCATTTTTTTCTTGTTTATCACAATGTTTTTTCTTTGTTCTGTATTTTTAATGTTTCCTTTTTTTTATTTGACAGAAATAATATTAGATAATAATAATGACACTCACTTGTTGACTACTTTTTTGTTGTTGTTTTTTTTTTATTTTTGAAATTCAGGAACGAAGGTAACAATTATTGTTCCACCACCGACTGCTGCAACTAAACAGAGAAGGAGGTAGTTGTTTGGATAATTATTGTGTTTTACACCTGTCGGTTTTAGAATGTCTTTCGGAAATGTACGGAAATTTTGTAATTTTTTTTTTAACTGACAAACGGACTATGATGGACCGTATGAATGGTAAATCTCACACACATATACACTCACTGACACTGACACTGACTCTAACTCACTCTCGCACTTACTTACGTTTACGTTTACGTTTGCAGTGAACAAACCTGAATGAAGAATATCCTGTTTGTGGTCTTGCCTTTTATATCATATCCAAATGTACTTCAGCTTTCGCTGATGTATCGTTTGGCGCTGCTGCTGCTTCTGCTATTTAACACAGACACAAACGCAATGTGTGAATCCACAAGCAAAAACAAAAAAAAAAGAACACGAGAGACAAGCAACAGCATTGATGGTTACAAAATGTTGACAACTCGGAAAAGCTAAGTTGAACAACACACAGACTCACACATAAACCCCACACAACATCCGGACAACAACACCAACAGGTGTTTGCTTGTAACCGGAGAGTATGTGTTGGCGTAAAAGAGTGTGTGCGTGTGTGAAAGAGAGTGAGTGCTGTGAAAGGCGATAACACCTTTACCATTTCTATTCAAAATCGAAAAGAAAGCAAAGCAAAAATCAACCAAACCAAAGCGACCATCATAAATTGTGCGTAAGCCATATGATGATGGATATGATGACACTCATACGCACCAACACACACACACATACACGATATTTATTATATTTCAATTGTGTTGCCAGCAACATGTTGCCAATAATGAAGATTCGATGTTAACAGCAACAAAAATGTTGATACCATTCTTAGACTTCATAAAGTAAGAACTTTATATTTAGACATGTTTGTCTGTCTGTTTTTGTCTCGCTATCTTTCAATGGTGTTACAATAAAGCTCTGAAATTTTGACAATTTGGGACATATTCAACGTAGCCTCGTTATCTGAAGATGCTATATATACTATATATCTATATATATTATATTATATATATATATATATATATATATATATATATATATATATATATATATATATATATATATATATATATATTATATATATTATATTATATTATATATATATATATATATATATATATATATATATATATATATATATATATATATATATATATGTATATATATATATATATATATATATATATATATATATATATATATATATATATATATATATATATATATATATATATATATATATATATATATATATATATATATATATATATATATATCTATATATATAAATGAAAGTTGTGTTAGTTACTACGCTTATAACTTAAGAACCGCTGAACTGATTTTAATGATTCATACAAATTCGGAATTGTCTCTTATCCGAATAGGATAATATCCAAAAAAATCGCGTAAAAATGTGATATATTAACATTTTCATTTTGACTTTTGAAATGTACAATAGTAATGTTTTATTTTGCATGATTTTTTCCATTTTGACTTACTTTTATTATATATATTATATTATTATTATATATTATATATATATATATATATATATATATATATATATATATATATATATATATATATATATATATATATATATATATATATATATATATCTATATATATAAATGAAAGTTGTGTTAGTTACTACGCTTATAACTTAAGAACCGCTGAACTGATTTTAATGATTCATACAAATTCGGAATTGTCTCTTATCCGAATAGGATAATATCCAAAAAAATCGCGTAAAAATGTGATATATTAACATTTTCATTTTGACTTTTGAAATGTACAATAGTAATGTTTTATTTTGCATGATTTTTTCCATTTTGACTTACTTTTTTCTAATGTACATTTGTAGTGTTTTTTGTATTTTATTTTTGAATTCGAATATTAATACCAATTTATTTAATTGACTTGATTTCTTGAGAACTGAAATTTATGGCGGGTTACATGGAAGTGTAGTACCGAATTATGTGGTGGCGTAACGGAATAGACGATATCGAAATAATTTAACGCGGTCACGCCAAAGTTAAAAGATAAATTATTTTTCAAAATCGCTAAAAAATCAAGAAAAAGAGATCTTATTGCAAAAACTCTCAAATCGGGAACAAATCGAAAAAAAAAATTCCATGGAATCTAATTTTAAAATAATAGTACATTGTATTGACAAACTTAAGGAGGATCTTTAAACATTTGCTGTAAAAAATCAGAAAACAAGTTGAAGATTTTTTCAATTTGTTATTCTTCTTTTGTCAATTTTTTTTCAATTTGTATTATCATATTGAATTCAGTGGATTTTTTGTGAACAAAATAATGATTTCTATCCTTCCAGAAATTCTTCCCAAACATTCAAGATAACTTAAATCGCTTTTGCAGGTCATGATATCGATCATAACTCACGGATAAGGGTACAAACCGATTTCATATTTATATATCCATCGTATGATTTAAGCTATTTTTGGGGTCATGCCCACTTTTTCATTTTTGGCCTTATTTGGCAAAATTTGAAATTTTCAGAGTAGGGCCCATATTGGTCTTGATCACATTTATCACTTGATTTGGCTAAAAAATTGTATATACGCTACCCTGGTGTATGGAACCATCATACAGATAATTGTCACCTAGGAATTTATTTAAGTAAAGCCCCCACATTGGAGTATCCCCAAGCCCACTTTCACATCTAATGTGTGTTCAGAAAAGAAAATTTTGTATTCTATTGAATTTGTAACCCCCAAGAGAATATTGGTTGAGAACATAGATTTGGGATGCACATCTATATGAAATAAATTATGAAAACATGGACAAATTACAAATATAAGAAAGTAGCACGGGACAGAATATTTGTTGAATCGTCGTTGAATTATACTATGATAAAAATATGGACTTACAACTTACAATTTACAACCAACTTACAATTTAAATGGCAAATGAAATTAATTCCCATGGGTGTAAAATTGCTATATTTTGGATTTGGTCTCTGTTTGTCATATTGGATTATAAGCGGTAGAAGAAAGTTTTCAATGTAGGTCGATATTTCGGAGTAGTGCCCATGTAAAGGTACCTCCTGATTTTACCATATTTCAAAAGATTTGGCTAAAAATGTATATTTGGGTGGAATCTTACACAAAAATTGCAACATATCTACAAATTTTAGAATTTTCTCCATGTAATAGTACCCCCTCAAGTCCACGGCTTAAATATGGGTATAGGTATTTCAAAACACTTTTAATCGACCAGTACGTGAACAGATATCAGTCATATCTGTGAATAATTATACTTTGACAAATATGCCTAATAGACAAAAACTACAGGCCGGCAACGCGGACCGGGCCAGCTAGTATATATATAAATGTAAGTTGTGTTAGTTACTACGCTTATAAGTTAAGAACCGCTGGATTAATTTTAACTATTCACACAAATTCGGGGTTGTCTACTCTCCGAAAAGGATAATATCCAAAAAAATCGCGTAAAAATGTGATATATTAACATTTTCATTTTGACTTTTCAAATGTACAATAGTAATGTTTTATTTTGCATGATTTTTTTTCCATTTTGACTTACTTTTTTCTAATGTACATTTGTAGTGTTTTTTTATATTTTATTTTTGAATTCGAATATTTATACCAATTTATTTAATTGACTTGATTTCTTGAGAACTGAAATTGATGGCGGGTTACATGGAAGTGTAGTAGCGAATTATGTGGTGGCGAAACGGAATAGATGATATCGAAATAATTTAACGCGGTCACACCAAAGTTAAAAGATAATTACTTTTTCTAAATCGCTGAAAAATCATGAAAAAGAGATCTCATTGCAAAAATCAAAAAAACATTTTCAATGGAATCGAATTTTAAAGTAATAGTACATTCTATTGACAAACTTTGTAAGGAAGGATCTTAAAACATTTGCTGTAAAAAATCAGCGAAAAAGTTGAAGACTTTTTCAATTTGTTATTCTTTTTTTGTCAATTTTTTGGTGAACAAAATAAAGAATAATTTTTCACTAAAAAAATTAAATAAGTGCGAAATAGGATGTTAACTGACATCTACCTTTCAACTCCAGGGTCTACATCGTGGGTTAGCTGGAAGATGCGAACACGTTTAAACAAACAAAAATGACCGAAAAAGCTTAATGGGGCTCATTTCAAAGCGTGACAATGATCCGTCCAATGAGAGCTCAAAATGCAAAATTCTTTGGGAGAATAATAAGTAATATACCAATATTGAAATAAAAGGTGCAAAATAGTAGAGCGAATGGGACTTTTAGTAAGAAAAGGTTTTATATCCTTCCAGAAATTCTTCCCAAACATTCAAAATACCTAAAATCACTTTTGCAGGTCTTTATATCGATCATAACTCATGGATAAGGGAACAACCCGATTTCATATTTATATAACCATCTATGATTTAAGTTATTTTTGGGGTCTTGGCCGGCCACTTTTTTCATTTTTTGGCCCTTATTTGACATTTTTGTTTCTAAGGGGGTAGATAACCTCTTCGCATAAAATTTGAAATTTTCAGAGTAGGGCCCATATTGGTATTGACCACATTCATCAATTGATTTGGCTAAAAAATTTTATTTATGCCACCCTGGGGTAGGGAACCATCATACAGATAATTGCCACATAGGAATTTATTTAAGTAAAGTCCCCACATTGGAGTATCCCCAAGTCCACTTTCACATCTAATGTGTGGTCAGAAAAGAAAATTTTGTATTCTATTGAATTTTTAACCCCCAAGAGAATATTGGTTGGGAACGTAGATTTGGGATGTGCATCCATATGAAATAAATTGTGGAAACATGAACAAATTACAAATATAAGAAAGTAGCACGGGACCGAATATTTGTTTAATCATCATTGAATTATCCTATGATGAAAATATGGACTTTAAGGGGTCTCCAACTTACAATTTAAATGGCAAATAAAATTAATTCCCATCTTATCATTCTGCCCGCAATTATGAGGTGGATAAAACTATTTTTACTTATTTAAATCACGCGAAATGCTATGACATGCTATATTGTTCTGCTATATTTTTGATTTGGCCTCTATTTGTCATCTTGGATTATAAGGGGTAGAAGAAAGTTTTCAATGTAGGTCGATGTTTCGGAGTAGTGCCCATATAAAGAAGGTACCTCCTAATTTAACCACATTTCAAAGAATTTGGCTAATAATGCGTATTAGGGGGGTGAAAATCTTACACTAAAATTTCAACATATCTACAAATTTTAGAATTTTTATCCATGTTATAATACCCTCTCAAGTCCACCTTTTGGCGGACAAACAGACTGACATGGTTAGGGGGACTTATGAGGACTCTAATGCACAATCTAAGTTGCTAATGGGTTTAAAAAGTAATTAACTTTGGCTATTCTTAAATCATTCAGCCCTCAATTATGTAGTATACAAAATACAGCAAATTCCAAATTACTGCTCATTTGACTGGAAGATTTTGCTACGATTTTTACCATATTAAAAATTAATTTGATCCCTTATATGGCGATAAGATTGATATATACTTTTTAATAGATTTGTATAGCACATCCACACAGTTGAAGCCCACGGTTTAAATATTGAAGCCCACTGGTTAAAAATGGGTACAGGTATTTTAAAACACTTTAAATCGACATGTACGTGAACACTTATATCAGTCATATCTGTGAATAATTATGCTTGGGAATATATGCATAATAGACAAAAACTACGGGCCGGCAACGCGGACCGGGCCAGCTAGTATTTGATAAATCCACATTTTTACTTTCGCAACAAAACTTTTTGTTTGTTTATTTCTCTTACGAGATGAACTTAAAGATCTAAAATTTGCGGTGAAAAAGAAAATCAAAGAGACACTATCATACACGTTTCGCCGTTGGTTAAGCGGAAATCATCCAAGTTCGACTCAAGTTCTACTGGCAAATCCATTTCAGAGAAAAGTTTGTTTTTGTAGCTATGTATTATTTCGCCCACAACAACTGCATTGCTTCCTTTGCATACACCTGTTTTGTTATTGGGAATTTTGAGTTTTCAATATGTATTAAATCAAGTCGAATTTTGGCCCATTTTGGATTGGATGTCCCCATATTTGGCAAAGGCATCCACTGAAATTTGGAATTTTGTGCTCTAAATAAGAATTAAACTTCTTTGCAAATGTCCTGCTTACACATACAAGTTTCCATATAGCTCTTATAAACGAGTTCTGCGCGATTGAAGGCATTATGGAGAGTTTAATCTCATTGTCCTATTGAATTCCAATCTCATTACTGGCAGCATTTTTTTCGTTCTCTTTTTAATTTGGCTCCTGGAGTTTCGCAACGCAATTAGTTTTCAGCAATTTTCAATTTTAACCATGGTATTTCTGTCATTGTTATTATTATTTCTGTTCAGGAATAAAAACACAAAAAGAATTGTCAGAAAATTACAATTTTTTGTCATTTCCTTTTCCCTTACCCCATTTCCTTCAAACAAAGACTTGGCGGAGGAAACTTGCCTAAACTTGGTATTTGGGCATCAAAATAGATGAGTCAATCAATTTAAGAGAATTTCAAAAACGGTCAATGCTTTCGCAAAGCTTTATTTTCAACATTTTATTCTGAATTTCAGATCTGACAAAAAAATTAAAACGAATATTTATGTTTGGCGCCCAACGTCATGGATATTCAAAATTTTTAGCGTTTGTGGGGAAGGTACCAGAAGAAGTGAACCAATATATTCCGTCTTACTGCCAGATCTTGGGTTCATAAAAATAGTGGGATGTGTGAAATTTGAAGACAATCGGACTCTTACATCATATGTTTTAAGAGTTATAATTATTCAAAATTTTGACCCTTTGTGGGAGAGGCACTTGATGGAATGGACCAATATTATCCACTTTGGCCCGAGACCTAGAACTGACGCAAATATTAGGATTTGCAAAATTAGAGAAAACTTATATTATTGCTTCCCTTTCTGTGCAGAAAAATTTTTTTTTTTTTTTTTGCAAATTTCGACTAATTGTGCGGGAGGTACCAGAAGGAGTGGTTCGATTTTGTCCATCTTAACACCAGACCTTGGGTTAATATAAAAATTGGGATGTGTGAAATTTGAAGACAATCGGACTTCATTCATTATTCAAGATTTTGACCATTTGTGGGGGAGGTACTGATGGAGTGGACCGATATTGTCCATTTTCACACATGCCCTAGCACTGACGCAAATATTAGGATTTGGGAAGTTGGAGCAAAATCGGATTATCCTTTCTCTTTCTGTGCAAAAAAAAATATATTTTTTGAAAATTTCGACCTTTTGTGGGGGAGGTACCAGAAGCAGTGGACCAATATTGCCCATCTCCGAACTCGATCTAAGTTTGACAAAAATATTACGATGTACCCTGCTTGGACCAAATCGGATACTCCTTTCGAGAGTTATCGGCCGTATCAAATAAAACAGGATTCAATCTAGTAGTAGTAGTGCACTATATAAAAATTTTGCAATACATAAACATTATTTTGACGCTCAACTTTGGAAACAACAATTTATATTCATACAAGTAAAAATACCTAAGGTCGGCGGGGCTGTCACAAAAAATCCATAGAAAATGTTACTAACATTTTAAAAACTCCCAATATCAGATGGTGCTGTAAATGGGACTAGACAAAAACGTGATCCTCAATAGCACATTACCTGCCAAAGAAGGCGATGTCTGATACAAACTCCAAATATCAAGTTTAATCCTCAATAAACCGAATATAGGTAGGTACCGTTGTAAGGGGGCTATACAAAGAATTGGACCTATATAGACAATTTTCCGTCATAGGAGGTACCAAATATGAACACCAAATACCAAACAATTCTGGTGAAAAATGTGACAGGAAATATCGAATATATGGAGGGGCAATTATATGGGGACTACAATATATAGTTAGACCCATATAAACAGTTCTATGCATGATTGTAGGAAACTAGATGTTGGAAAACGAAACCGGCAATTTATAAATACGGGTTAAAAGTGTGAATAAAAAACCAAAACAAAATGAAATTTATGCTGATCGAGGATAGATAAACGCATTGCATTGAATACATATTTCGAAGTTACAAGCTTCAAACTTCTCATGCGTGTTGCGGAAGGTATAAAAACAGTATTCTTGAAGGGGGGTAACAATTTTATAATACAAACAAAACTCGTTATATTTACGATTGGCACCCAACGTGAAGATACATTAGTTATAAAGGGTAAACATAGGAAATATAGGTAATAACAAGTAAATAAATACATAACAATTAAGCTAATGCTATGGTCGTGCGGGACCGACCCTGTGATACCCTACAAGACCACAATATGTTGTAAGGCCCCTTGTGTCCAAATCAATTTTGGAAGATTTCGTTTTTGATATTATGTCAAAGAACCCTATCCTTAGCCTTTTGACCGGGTGCATGTCCAGTACCATCGTGTCGTAAGGTATTCAAAAAAATTTCACACCAAAGTTTTGGTAATGCTAGACTTCTTCCCGTTACTCTAACCTCATGCAAAATTCCGTGTCGATTGGTTTTTAATTGTGGCCCGTAGAGCAACTGGAAAATCTGGAAATTTTTAATTTTTTGGTCCATTTGAACCCCAAAATATACATCTTCTAAACAATTGGCTTTAAATCTGATCCTTACCCTACACCCATGCAAAATTTCGTTTGCGACATACATATATATAATACCCTCAAAACGAAATGTTGCGGGGTGTAAAAATTTAGAAAATTTACAATTCAAAATTGTAAGTCAAATTGAAAAAATCGCATGCGATAAAAAATATGACAAAAATTGAAGAAATTGAACAAAATATATTCACTTTTTTATGGGTATATTTTTTAGTGATTTTCTTAGATTTTATCCTTTTCTGGCAAAAGACATTCCGAATTGATGGGAATTGTGAAAATCGGCCCAGCGGTTCTTGTCTTATAAGCGGAATAATTAAGATCTATTTCTTTTACATATATATTGTACCTATTTTGCTGTAAAGCCGATTTCTTGGCTATCAGCCTCACTTCAATGGTCAGAAGTGACCTTTTAATGTATTTGTGATTTGATTGGGAAATGAAAATATTCGCGGTTTAGTGGAAATTTTCCTATCTTCCTACATAAAATAAGGGTCTATTTTACCCCAAATTGGTAGGCTTCTGCCCAGTCCTAAACACTAACTCCATGTAAATTTCTGCGTCGATGGGTTCATAATTGTGGCCTATAGAGCAACTGCAAAATCAGGGAAATTTTCTGTTTTTGGTCCATTTCAACCCCTAAATATTTTGCAATCATCTCCAAAACAATTGGTTTCTATTCTGACCCTAACGCCACCTCCATTTTTAATTTCTTGAGGATCGGGCCATAATTGCGACCTGTAGCTTGACAGACAGACGAACGGACATACATAGCTAGATCGACTCAGCTCGGCGAGATAGAAATATCCATATATAGTTTCCTATGTGGGAAACCAATATTTTGAGGTGTTACATATTTTGTGGTCCAATCAAACTTACACATAACCCCAACACATAGTGTTGTCGGGTAGGGGAAATTAACAATATTTCTATTTTGGTATTTTTGCACACAAATAACACTAGAAAGGCAAATAAAGTACAAACATATGATATAAACTATGGGTAATGCTCAAATTTAGGAATTTCGAATATTTCGGCTTATTTTCAACGCATTACCAGTGATCTAATTAATATATTGTATTGTGGTCTAAACTTAACCACAATGTTTTAATTTCGGATATGGCGCCCAAAGTGGCAAAGAACAATTTTTTCTGATCTAAAAATTGTCTTAAATTTTTATATAATAACTAATTATTTAATTAATTCCAGATCGGGTTGGCGCCCAACGTGAAAATAAAAGATTTTCGATTTGTTTGGAAAATATAAAAATGTATGTATAATGCTCCCGTTTAAACAACCATATATTCTCAATGTATTAACGTTGATATTGGCGCCCAACGTGAAAAAATATTAAATAACATAATTCTAAAAATTGAATGGTAAAATACTAATTTGGATTATAGACAGCCTGTCTGCCAATACTAACATTGACAAAATATAGTTAAAGAGGTTAATAGCACGTTTTCATACAAAATCTTTACCCGGGTTAACAATAATAATTGAGCAATAAGTATTTTCAAATTTAGTGTTAGTAGGTAATTATTAGGGTTCACTCGGATAAAGATTTATTTGGCGAATGTTGCGTATGTGGAATTCAAATCTAATTCAAATCAATTTTTATTGTTATTTTATCCAGACCTCCAAAAAACTGACTTAAGGGATTTGGGAGCGATCCCACAGAAAACAAAAGAGTAAAGGGAAAACTCCGTATAAAGCTCTCACTCTTCGAGCACTCCAGCTCAAGAGCAATTCACTCCAATTCGGAGCTCTGAATAAGTATTAATCTATGATTTATAGAGAAATGTTGAAGACATCTCATTGCTCTGAACATTAAATTTTGAATAAAATTTTTTCTAAGGTAACTTTTTACATACGATTAACGTACGATTTTAACGTACAGACATATTTTTTTGGCCCTAATTTTAAAAGGCGGTCAGAGCTAAGCCTAATTTTTAAAATTCTCATCGTAAAATACAGAGAATGAAATCCCTTCCAGAATAATTATGGCTGATAGTCTCATACCCATCTGTCCTCTCTGAATATTTTTTAAACGCTATAGCAATTTTTATACCCTCCACCATAGTATGGAGGGTATATTAAGTTTGTCATTCCGTTTGTTACACCTCGAAACATATATTTTAGACCCCACAAAGTATATATACTCTTGATCAGCATAAAATTCTATGTCGATTTATCAATGTCCGTCCGTCTATCCGTCTGTGGAAATCACTCTAGCTTCCGATCGAAAAGAAGTAGGTTGATAAAATTTTACTCAAATGTGTACTATGTCTGCAGGACTTTTAGTATTGAAAATGGGCCATGAAGGTCCACGTCATCGTATAGCCCCATATGACGGTACCTCCCCATATGCAGTATTTTCATGATTTTTGTTTCAAAATTAATATTTGAAGTTCGTAATAGATGCTACGGCTTAAGACAGAAAATGGGCCATGTAGGTCCACGTCTTCGTATAGCCCCCATATAACGGTACCCCCCGATATTCGGTATTTTGATGATTTTAGCGATATAATTTACCGGAATTGTTTCAATTTTGGTATTTGAAGTTTGTAATGGATACTACATCCAGAAAATGAGCCATGTAGATCCACGTCTTCGTATAGCCCCCATGTAACGGTACCCCCGATATTCGGTATTTTGATGGTTCTACCAACATTATTTACCAGAATTGTTTCAATTTTGGTATTTGAAGTTTGTAATGGATACTACATCCAGAAAATGAGCCATGTAGGTCCACGTTTTCGTATAGCCCCTATCTAACGGTACCCCCGATAGTCGGTATTTTGATGATTTTAGAGACATTATTCACCGGAACTATTTAAAATTTGGTATTCGAAGTTCGTAATGATTACTATAGCCTATGAGAGAAAATTGTGTGTGCAGGTCCACGTCTTCGTATAGCCCCATATAACGGTACCTCCCGATATCCGGTATTTTGATGATTTTAGCGACATTATTTACCGGAATTTTTTCAAATTTCGCATTTGAAGTTCGTAATGGATAATACAGCCTATGTCAGAAAATTATCTGTGTAGATCCACGTTGGTACCTCCCCATATTCGGTATTTTTATGATTTCAGCTAAATTAT